TTTATTGACCCCAAGGTTCCCACAACAGCAAAGATCCATGTTTTCAATTCAAATATTTTACCAGTATTATTGTATAGCAACAAGACCTGAACACAACTACCCCTGAAGAATTAAAAATGAACATCACACTCGGGTCAGTGGAAATGAGCGTGGTGTGTGTGAGCAGGTTGCAACATATAACCAGCACAGAACTCTGAAGAACAGAAGTAAAAAATGCCATCACAGAATTCTATAACATAAAGAAAAGATGGACTGGTCATGTGGTAAAAGACTGAGATGGTAGATGGATAGCCTGAATGTTCTACTCAGAGCCTCATAATGTCAGGAGGAAGCAAGGAAGGTCTCTAGCACATTTGGGGGAAAACCTATTGCAAAATTCTTGGAGAACATGGATGAAAGTTACATAGGATGGGCAGGTATGGATGGGTTGTGATCAGTAATATTGAAGGAAACTCCAAAACCAATGAGATCACAGATTTATTTGGGTAAAGAAAAATTTCCTTATTTTTAGTTCTATACAAAGTCGGACTGTACTGCCTCTGAAAGGAGTAGGTTACTGTAGCAGTTAGTAAGGTGCCTAGCAAATAGTATACAATTGATGCTTGTTGACATAACTCCTCATTGAGAATCTTCCAACAAAGGCTAAATGGCAACTCATTGAGGATGTTATATAGGGCATTCTTGATCAAATATGGGTTGGTTTATATGATTCCTATATAGTTCTAGCTTGAGTGATTCATATAATATGATAATTTCCAAAGCTGCCTTTCCCTTGTACATTAAGTCCTTTGCTCTAAATGCCTGAAATCCTCTCTGATTTTTCTTCTTCTAAAAAAAAAAAATTATTTATTTATTTTTAACATTCCTTTTTTTCCTTCAAATTTTGAGTTCTGAATTCTCTCCCTCCCTTCCACCTCTCCCTCACCCATTGAGAAGGCAAGAAATGTGATATCAATTATACTTGTGAAATCATGCAAAACATATTAGCCATGTTACAAAATAAATAAATGAAATGAAATGAAAAAAATATGTTTCTATCTATACTCAGAATTCATCAGTTCCCTCTCTGGAGATGGATAGCATTTTTCATCATAAGTCCTTTGGAATTGTCTTGGATCAATGTATTGATCAGAATAGCTAGGTTATTCATAGTTGATCATCGTGACAATATTGCTGCTACTGCGTACCATTTCTCCTGCTTCTGCTCATTTCACTTTGCATGAGTTCATATAAGCCTTCCCAGAAAAACCTGGGAAGGCTTATTCTGAAACCATCTTGCTCATCATTTCTTATAGCAAAATAGTATTCCATCACAATCATATACCACAACTTGCTCAGCCATTCCCCAGTTGATGGGCATCCCCTTGATTTCCAATTCTTTGCTACCACAAAAAGAGAGGCTATAAATATTTGTGTACATATAGATAATTTTTCCTTTTCTTTGATCTCTTTGGGATACAGATATAGTAGTGATATTGCTGGGTCAAAGGGCATACCAAGTTTTATAGCCCTTTGAGCACAGCTCCAAATAGATCTCCAGAATGGTTGGATCGGTTCACAACTGCAGCAACAGCACATTAACTTCTGTTTTCCACATCCCCTCCAGTATTTGTCATTTTCTTTTTCTGTCATATTAGCT